TCTTGGACCGGAAATTTCACCAGGAGCGTATCACAGGCCACTCTCCGACGCACCGGAGATCCCGGATTTGGGCGTAAACACGCACAAAGCAGCGAGTGATCGGACGCCGTACCGCCCGTCGTCTAGGGTCAGCCGGCACTTGTCAGCCCAATAGAGCTAGCGCGACACGTGCTGCGCTGCCGTCCTGACCACTCAGACTGGCTTGAGGTCCAGTTCGTCGTATGGGGCAAGTCTACTCCTGACCCGTTCCAGCGGATCCAGCGGATCGAAGCGGCTCGCTGCGGCAATCCGGATGGGGGTCGCCGTCTTTGCCAATGAGAGCGCGAAGAGCGCCCAGATGGCCCAGCATGCTCGGCAGGGCTGCGAAATGCGACGCCACTGCCGGCGACCAAGCCAACTGCTCTTTCTTCTGAGCGCCAGACGTCCTGAGTTGTGGGCAAGCCCAGTACCCTCATCTGCGCTGCCCTGTCTTTGTTCGTGCATGGCTGCCAGGATTACTCAGAAATCGAAATTTCCGAGTTGTTCGTGCTCAGACTAGGGCGGCCTGTCATGTACTCGGACCACAGGACAGGACGGGGTAGGAGAGGGCACGGATCTAAAGCTGACCAATTTCGAACATGAGCTAGACTGTGCACTGGACGCCTGCCGAGACGCTGATATGCTTGACTCAGGCCATAGATCTTTGCAGCTGCGCGCTTTGTGAAAAAAAGTTGCAGTGACGTGATAGATAAGCCGATCGCTTTCGTGAGGCATTCGTGTTATCGCCGCGAAAGAGGAAGGCCTGCAGGCCAGACCAAGACTGATAAGGGGATTTGTCGAGCGCGAGGTTGCAGCGTATTGCGTGGTCTCTCCTCTGCAGACACAAACAACAAAGCAGCAACGACCCGCGGCCGCGCTTAGCGACAAGAGTTGGAAGACTGAGGAATACCACTTGCCAGGGCCCAGGGGTGCGCCCTGACTCCTACGTCTTGCGCCCCTTTACTCTATATGGAGATTCTGCGCCTCGGAGTGTTGCGCCCTGAGATACGTCATTGGGCCAATCATCTTATCTGTCCGTGTTCGACTCTGCTCGCCTCGCTCGGTCTCGCCGTGTCGTCTGTCTGCACCCCGTTTGCGTGCGTGGAACGGAATCGCGACTTTCGCGAGCCTGTCTACTACGGCTTTGCTGTGCGCCGTGACAAACTCTACCTCAAAGTCACGAGATCAGAAACACACCCCGGCACGTTCACGCGTCCCTCCCCTCACACTGCGCCCCGTCTCTACGCAAATCTTCCCAGACATCAGACATCACGTTATCCAAGCCCTCACTCGGCACAATTCATCGTCGCACACCTACACACTGATCGTCGCGATCTTTCCATCCATCCGTTCCGTAGCGAGCACACGCAGCCGGCCCAGTGTCTTGCAAGCGAAGCACACTCGACTAAGCATGAATGAAAATAGACAGATTAGGATAGCTGGGTGCAGTCAATTTTTCGAGAGCAGCAAATAGCAGCCAGGCGATGACGCATCTCCGCCGCGCCCGAACCTTTGCAGCTCCTGTCATGTGGACCTGGCGGTCGACGAGTTCGAGGATGTGCCTCGGGCCGTGCGCCTGCAACCCTCTGCAGCTACGCTTCCAGTCAGCCTCCCTGCTTTGCAGGATGCCCTGAGCGTATGTCGCAAGAATCGAATGCGCCTCGGATCTTCTGCTCTTCTGCCTGATTGATTTCAAGCGATGACATGGCTCTGGGCAAAACCCCTGGTACGGTCCGAAGGCGTGACCCTGAGTTCATCGGTGCGGCCGGGCGCAGCGCCTGAGGACGGAGGAAGAGGAAGCCTTGGATGTTTCGTTGCTGAACCCTGAGCCAGGGGAGGGATTCAAGTCGAGCTCTGAGCGAAAGCAGACGACTGTCTCTGTGCTGGTGCAGTGAGAGATTGAGCAAGCCCGATGCGTCCGCGGGGGCTGGAGCCCGATTCTGCTGCACGCACGAGAGAGAGAATCGATGAAGCACTCGACGGTCCAGTAATGCCCCCGCCTCCGACCCCGTACCCCGTCCGCTTGCATCCGCCTGACCCGCTGACCCGCGCTGCTCAGTGCCTCATCAAAAAAAGCCTAACAAGGGGTCACTAAGGGACAACACACGGTCGACACAAGCAAGGCAAAAGCCTCGGGCCGCCCGCCAGAGACATACGCCATGACACATAAAGCTACACTCACCCCGTGGCCTGCCTGCCTCGCTCCGCTCCACTCTGGTATAATTCTCATACTCCCCCTACCTCGCCTACCTCTTTTAACCTCCCATCCTCTCTCCCACCAACCCCATCCCCCGCCCTCCCCCCTCTCTCCCACTTTACTCTCTCCCACTGTTAACTGCTTCTTGTCCATCCTTACTCTTTATAACTCGTAACCCCCTTACCTATCTACCCCTCAACACCTCTTTAATCCTACCCCCCTACCCCCCAACAGCAATCGATCAAAATGGGTTGCCTCGGTCGTGAAAAGCAGAAGAAGGGTGAGTCGGAATGAAACGAAACAAACACGGCAGACAACAGTGCTGACGCTGCAACAGAGAAGGTTCTCCCCAAGAGCAAGTTCGGTCAGATGCTCTTCACCGGACGCCAGAAGATGATCTTCTTCTTCTTCGTCTTCTACGCCTGTATCGACATCACCATGCTCGGTCTCATCTCTGAGCAGCTCCAGAAGTACGGCAACCTCAACACCCGTTACCCTACTCTGATGTACTACCACGCTCTCGGTCTTGGGTAAGTGTTTTCTTTTCTGTCGCAGCGAGCACAAGCGATACAGCGAAACTTGGCGACGGGGCGGCACAGAGTGCGTCTCGCAGCAGATGGGGCCTTTGTTTGGGCGCGAAACTGCCACTCCGGCTGGCCGTCAGCCAGTCGGATCAGGCCATGGTCCGTGCAGGGCGAAGCTTCAGGTTTCCGCGGCTTTGGCTTTGGCTTGGGAAGCCACCGTCAGAACGCCAGCCGACGCATCCCGTGCGCTCGATGCCATCACCGTGCATGGCCCCTCTCGGCTGCGACATTCACTCGAACGCCAAGCCGTCACCCAAGAATTCGCTTAGCTTGCTAGAGAGATGCGCTACTTCCGAATGATCACGCCGCTAACATGCGCAGCCTCTTCGCCACCATCTTCTACCTCCTCTTCGCCCTCTTCCACTGGAAGCTCGGCCACAAGATCATGATGTTCATGTTCCTCTCTGGTGGTGTCTTCTTCGGTGTTATCGCTGGTATCCTTACCGCTACTCCCTTCGGCCACGGTCTCCAGTGCAAGCACAACGCCGACCACTTCTCCGAGCCCTGGCGCCGCTTCGCTGGCGAGTGTGCCCGCATCCAGGCCATTGTCGGTCTCTCGTGGGCCCTCTTCGGTCTTAACACCATCGGCTTCTTCTGGGCCATCGCCGACAAGTTCTCGTGCGTCTCGAAGCGCGACTACGTCTACGCCCCCTACGTTGCCCCCGAGGGCACCGACGTCGAGAAGGGCGAGACCGAGGCTGCCGCCGCCCACTAAGCAGCTTCGCCTCGAAGACTAGTAGACATCCCGAACGAAAGGTAGACTCCGAGTTTCCCCTCCCGCTCCCTGCGGTGTCTGGCGCCGAGCAGCTCAAATGTACTCGGTGGCCGCGCCGCATACCCTCCCGCGGGTACGCGCCCCTTCTGCCCCCTCTACCCCTCTACCCTTTTAAACCCCCCTACCTCTCCTCTTCCTCTCCATCGCATTGCCGCATTTTATGCATTCTATAATTCGCACGGCGCACCAGTTGGTTGACGGGCGAATAATACACATCCTTCAAACAGACATCCTGGACCGCAGTGGGCAGTGCAATCGCGATGGGACACATCTAATTCTCATAGACTGCAGATGCATCATCACATGATAATAGCTAGCGTTCGATACGACGCGTGCCGATCCCGGATTGTGCGTTTAGTCAGAAGCGAGAGCGTGAGTGCCCACCGGGAGTCTTGGCTTTGGGGGGGACGGGGTAGTCAAGTGATCGATGCGCAAGGGGATAAGCTCAAGTGTGCGTACTGCCGGGGTACGTGCTGCCGTGCCGCGGTGCATGGTGCACGGGATGGAGGACCGTTTCCGCCCACACCGCCCACAATAGTCGTCTGCATAGCGGTGAGCCTTGCGAGTTATTCGATGCTCATGCACCTCGATGCTCTGCATGCTCTGCATTCTGCACTCCGCCACTCCGCTCCGCTCCGCCTGGCTACTGGCAGAATTTGCACAGTCTACGCAGACATAAACAATGCCCAACAGAGCCTGTCTGTTCGATTGGGCTCAGGGGCAGGCGGATACTGGAACGAAGCTGGTTGGCTGGTGGCTGACGTCAATCCGTCAATACCCCTCCATTGCTCATCCGTGCAAGCTCGCGACCGGGCGACCCCCATCGTTGTATTTTGGTCCCGCCTAGATTTCGAGGAAGCAGGCGGAGGCGGGGATCGGTCAACCACGCGAACACCTGCCTCCAACTTCCACTACTGCAGACGGGTCAGGCTCGAGTGAGGAGTGAGGTACGGGAGGCACACAAGGGACACAGAGATGACGATCTGCCATTCAGTCGTATACGTATTTCGGCCGGTTTTTGTTGCCTTGTCGTTACGCTGTTGCGTGCTCCGTGGTGGAGGGGGTTCCTGTATCAGCACTGGAGGGCAATGACCGAGGCGATTGTTAGGTAGCACCAACGGGCTCTGCCTACACTCCACACCGGACGACGGAAGGTGTTGGCTCCATCGGAGCAACGAATCATTACGCTGCACATCCTTCTGTGGATCTTCAGAGCCACGCGACGGGCGTCAAGTTGCCCTCCCTCCAAGCCTATCTCCCTCTCTGCCATGTCTACATATTCAATGAAGGTCTGCAGAGCTATATACAGAGCCGGTCAAGTGGAGGCTACAGCGGTGAGGACGTGAGGATGTGAGGTAAATGTGACGTCTTCCACTTGTGCGGGACCACGTTTCCCCCCCCTCTCTGCCTTGATGTGCGAGTGCCTGAGACCTGTCTGGGGACGTGCATGAAAGGCCACATGACCAACATTTGCGCTGTCGCTTCCGCTCCCCTCACCCAGTTAGCACCCAGGCAGCACCGAGAATAAGTAGAGTGCGCGACGTCGCCCCCCGCTATCTCTGAACAACGTGCGCGGCGCGTACATATGCCGAATGCTGGGATACTGGGTGAGAGCCAGGACCACTGCTGTCCCTGTGGACCTGTGGGTACCTGGTCGTTGGCCAGTCACGAGTGAGTGATCGGCGGGAAGTGGCTTTCGGTCCGATGATCCGATGATCCGAAGGGGCCGATCGGAGAGTCAAGTCTGTGAGGATGTAATTTGCATGCTCTGTACACTGTCCATCGTCGTTTATTCTCGTTTACTTGTTCCAGAGTCTGGGTATATCTATCTATATAGGAAGGCTTCTTCTAGTACGTCAAGCACAAGATGGGCTGGGCTGGGTATTCTCGGTGCGGGTGGGTATGTTGGGTATCGTTACTGTTCACTGATTCTGGGTATCTTCTAGTCCTCCTCGCCACTCGCTGGCACTGCTCACGTTCGGCTAACTGTTGACTGTTGACATTTAACAACAGCTATTCTCCGATCTCCCTCTGGTCGTCCGCCCTCTCACTCCTGCAGGCTCTGGTCCGTTATCAAGCCGTACTCTACTGGTGGCGCACTGCGCGGCGCGTGCAGCGTCAAGTTATAGGGACAGTTGGTCCAGCCATCCGTCCCATTCGACCTGACGATGCTTTGCGGTCACGGCGCGCCACCGCAGACGGGCTCGCTATGTCGAGCTCTTGTCGAGAGTCACCTTCAGCTCGTCCAACTGCGCGAGGAGCTGGCTCAGGTCCGTCTCGGGCGTCTTGGGTGTCGGCGGCTGGGGTTCCTGCAGCACGATGCTGAGGCCTGCGGCTGTGCAGAGCGTGATGGGGTCCATGGTTGTGTGCTGCGAGGGGGGTGTTGGCGTGAGCCTCGAGGGTTGCGAGCTCAAGTGTGAGGAGTGTTGATGGGTCTGATGGGTGGGAGTCGAGGACGACGGACTGGACTTGGGGTGTTGACTGGTCGATGTCCGTTGACGAGTTGATATGCACTCTTAAGAGCCGCTGCTGACCTTGCAGTCCTAGACCAAGCTGTGTAGATTGAGGGAGTGGCTGATGCTCGCTGATGGAAGCGTTGGTTGTGCGGTGGAGGCTCGGTACCGAAGCTGTGTTCCACTTGATATCTCGAAGACCTTAGGGACAAGTATGCACGTCTACCCTAGGCGACGGATCTGATCCTGATAGAGATTTGCTTGTTTGTCTGCCCGGCTAGACACAGCGAGTGTTATGAGCAGGCTGACTGATCTTCGGTGGCTGGAAGAGATTGCCACTAGTTCGCCACTCTGGGAGGTGGCTGTGCTTCGCCGCTGGATGAGCCGATCGGCCGCAGTACTTGTGTGTTACGGAGCGGTAAGCAGATGTTTGCGGTGTGTGACGTGTGCCGTGCGGGTCGCTAGCGTGCCGTTCTGCGCTCTGTCTGGTTCTGCGCTCTGTCTGGTAAGGTGTCGTTGATCGAGATGAACTTGGTGGCGTGCCGCTTCCCGAAGGCGTGGCTGGCGATGTAGTTGGTGGGCTTGTTCTGCGAATGATAGCGTAGTCGAAGATGTTGGGCTTGGAGGAGTTGCTGTTGCGTGCTTGCGTATCCTTGAGTCTGAGAAGGCGGTTGAGACAGTTGAGGCGTTTGATGAGATCGAGCTGCTCGATGCTGGTGGGTGAGAGATGTTAAGGTTTACCTGCTTCTTATACCTTGCGTTGGGCTCTCCTCTTGATTATTGCTGGACACTGGTGGCGTCGGCGCAGTTCCGTTGGGGGAGTGGATGTGGATGAGTATCAGCTCAGTGAAACGCTGTGTATGAGCTCGTGCAACATCATACCGCAGGTGGTACGATCTGCAACAGAGCGTCGGTGTACGCCAGGGTGAGGCCGCGTATGCGACACGCACCCCAAAGATCGGACACTGCATGCTAGTCAATGTCCTGGGTGGCACCGTCAGCAGTGGGTGGCAAAGCCGAGACAGCCAGTCAGCAACTGTGGGATATGTGTCGGACTGGCATCGATGTGGAGATGTCCGCCGAAGCCCGTGTTTACGACGGTATCAGCCAGCGACCTGCGACGCGTGTGAGACGCGTGCGGTGTCCCTTCGCAGGTGCTTGCAACGTCTAACCCCGTATCGTCCCAGGGCTTCGGAGTGCTCATGTTGCAGATCAGCTGACACATTGGTGAGCTCAATGGCCAGCAGTTGCAGGCGACCCCTGGACCCCGGCCCTCCCAGACATCATCCCAGACACGAGGACGGCCTGATGACGTTCAACTCCGAGCCCAGACGTTTGGAAGCTCCCGGTGTCCACTCAGATGTAAGCTGGGGTAGGCCGCAACGCTTGGGATCCTTAATGAAGGGCCGATTGCAGTGCTGGCGCTACTCGTGCGGGGTTGAGCGGGTGTCAAGCTGGGATAGACGGGGTTGCGGGGTAGCGGGGGTTCAGCTAGGGTGGCATCCAGAACCTGCTGTCAGAGGGCTGATTCCAGTGCATAATGGGAAGAGTTTTGGGGTCGATTAAGGGGCGGGCCCAGCGTTTGTGGTAGTCATCATTGCAGGACGGCGGGGAGTGGGTGGCGAGTGGCTGGTTCCAGTGCAGACTGGGACGCGTCGAGACCGACGCGTACCGCTTACTGCGACGCGATGGTCCTTTGGGACGCTTCCGATACACAAGGTACTGGGCCCGGAGGCGATGCAAGCTGCCGACAAGGTTGGGGTCCGCTCGGTAGCCATGAGTCGCGGTGGTGGCTTGTTATACGTCCTTAACCCTTAGCTCGGCACCGCTCGCATTCAGCGCAGTCGTCAGTAGGTGTCGTGTCAGGAGATCGACGAGCATAGCTGGACGGTCGGATCGGAAATGGTGGAGGGATCGTCGTGTGTTGCAGCTCAGTCGTTATGACGGCGAGGAAGACAGTCGTATGAGCAAAGATCTTGCACTGGGGGGAAGTGATACACCCCAGTGCTAATGAACGCGGCATCGCTCTCTCTGCCAGTCCGCCGCCTCTGTCTCTCTTCATTGACCCGGCCAGCCATGTTGGGTCAGGTGTGCGTTTGAGGAACTGTTGGTGACTGTCGGCGAGATCGTCCACGTACGAAGGATGTGTGAAATCAAGCGCGTGCGCAGACAGCGGCGTGGGGCCGTGGCTCGGCGGAAATGCTATGCGGAGTGATACCTGCAGTGGAGTCTGCAACACCGTCAGTCGTGTCAGTGGTCCACGCACATCCTGGGGCGGTGCGTGCCAGTTGCGGCCTTCCCTCTCCTACACCTATCCCTCCCGGGGCCTAGCACAGCTCGTTTCGGCGATGCCGAAGCACGAGAACCAACGCGTCGGACCGAGAGTCAACCTTGACACTCCGTCGCGTCGGCATATCAGATATCAGTTGTCGCGACGGTTGATGGTGGAGAGGCAGAGGGTCGAGTGTGTGAACGCATTGAGCACATTCGGGATTCACGGTGACTTGGCAAGGCGCGTTGCGGGCGATAAGCTCGAGACACGGAGAGTTCAAAGGGTCGGACTGGTCAGGTCCGCAAGGAAGGGCATGCGAGCATGCCCGCTGCTGCCATAAGGGTTCCGATTTCCCTTCCTTCCGGTCACTCCCTCTAAGAGCTGGCACTGTACATGTGCTTTCGCATCGATCAGCGACTTGCGGGGAGCAGCAAAGGCGGCTGTCCGATCTAGCTGTAGGTGATGTACTGCTTGGTCATCTCTTGTCGGTGTGTCTTCCTCGTCGCAGATGGGGAAATGAGGGAAGGTTCGTTGCGGTCATCTGTGCGGTCATCTTGCTGGTGTCACGTGACAGATGATGTGTGCCTGGTGCGGCGGAAGGAATGAGAGACGTTTCATGTGACAAACCCCAGGCTCATTCATTCTGCACGGTGCAAGGTGGAGGTGTGAAAGGACAGCACAGCATCGCGGAAGGGGAAGCTGTCGAGAAGCCCCGTGCCCCCCGCCTCGTTGGACATTGTCGAGACGGGTTAGCCGACTGCTGACCGCTGCCCGCTGCCCGCTGCGGGTGTGAGTCGGTGGGTCGGTCCCACTGCATGTGGAAGCGACCGTGTGCCGTGGCGGCGAAGCGGTGACGACCCACACAGTGCCTCCGGGCAGCACCCACTGAAAGCTTGCTGGAACTGCGACGACGCGTCGGCGTGTATGCTGCGGAACCGCAGCATATCCCGTTGGCTGTCGCGGTGTCCACGATGCTCACAAGACCAGAAGCAGAGAAGGATTTCGCAGAGTGGCCAAGTTTGAGAGCGATACGAATGCATCAGGGTGGCGTGGACAGGGTGTGCGGACCAGCTCTTTGCCGTTTGCTCTCCTGCCGCTCTCGCCTGTACGCGGTACGCCTGTTGGACTCTACAGACTCTAGACTCTGGCGCAGTGCCCGACAGTGGACGGCGGTGCAGACTAAGGACGCGGCGCAGACGACTTTGGTGGACATTGCAGACAGTTGCCCCTGGCGACCACGTGGACAGGACACCGCCTCGCGCCTTACCCACGCAACCCCTGCCGCCTAATCGCGCCTAATGCACCGATTAGAAATGGCTAGGGAAGGTTAGGAATGTCCCAACGCGGTCATACCCAGGCGTAGATTACAGAATGCGAAGCCATTAGGGCGTTCCCTGTCCACTCTATCAGCGCTCAGGCTCAGGCTCGCGAGCTCTGGCCCAGACCTCCACAGCCAGAGAACCGCTCAGCGCTCAGCTGAGCTTCGCCTCTGCTCACCAAGCACAAGCTCACAGCTTGCACTCACTCACCACGGTGCACGCTGTCATCCTCCAACTCTTGTCACGACCACCGCCGACGCTACATTCACTCAGTCCCCCACCATCACACAATCCCTCTCACATCTCACACACAACACTTCACTCCTTCATTGTTCACTTTACCCCGCACCACCCCCTCTCTCCTCCCG